GCTCTCATAGAAAGACTCCTACATCTTTATATCTGGGATGGGAGCAGTAAAATCAACGACTACGTCATCTTCTGGGCCGTCTCCTTCCACTTCAGGATCCATCACCACATGGGGGCGAGTGTTGGACAGGGTATCCTTGAAGCTCAATGGTGGTATCAGTTTTTCTGGCCCTGGGGGCGGAGAGCTCTTCTCCGGGGTGGCCGTAGTCACGTTAGCTGACGGACAGTCCAGTGGCAAGTCAGAGCGTCGTTTCTTCGAGATTCGAGGACCAGATATCATAGGAGGGTTGCTACGTGTAATGCCGGGAAGGGATCTGGTGGGTCAACCTTGGGGTCGGCCGACGTCTCCGTGCCCGTGAAATCGGTTGTGGCGGCTAAACCTAAGCCAGACATTTTGGAAAGGGCAAAACTAATGATATTGTTATTCTTATGCATGGTAATCTGAAAGATTTTCCAGAAATGGACTCTTATGTATAGTTATCTCACAACATAATGGTTATCCCTCAAAGAACCTAATGTCCATAAAAAAACAAGAAAAACAAATTATTCTCGCCTCTACATTGTAGGAGTCCTTTGTTCTTCTTCGGTTGTTTTTCCATCTTTGGTTAAGAGATCGAACTTTGTCACTTAATTAATTATTTAGTGTAACTAAATCCAAAATTTTGAGAATCATTCACGACCAAGACATTTTGTCCGTGAACAAGTCTCAAGAGGCATTTAAAGACTTCGAAATTTTAATATTTTTAATGTATTTATTCATTTTTGGACATAAATTCTAGATAAATAAGATATATATTAATAAATTAAATATTTCTTACTCACCTTGTCAAATCTTAGGATAAGGAAATTGGTTATATCAAACCATTAGGGACCAATCAAACTGATATTTTCTTCCCCAATACACTATTTCCTACACCTATAAACAGAGGCTCTCCTCAAAGTCACAAGTTAGACCACATAAATCAAATGCCCAAGTTCAAGAGTTCTCAACAATTCACTTGAGGATCTAAAACATTCAAGTTGAAGATCGACGTTCAAGTCCAGGTCCCTCTCCAAGAAGGATAAAGAAAAAAAAATTGTCAATAAGTCCTTTTTAATCAAATCAAGTCCAAACATTTCAATTCGGGAGCAAGTCACTCGACCCCAAATTATTGTTATAAAAATTCAAGATCAAGTCCGAAGGAGATCCAATTGTTAACAAATTTAAGGATCAAACCAAGTCCAAGAAGAGAAAAATCAGAGGAAACGTATAAAGATTGTACCTACAAAATTGTTTGTCAAATTAAAATCAAGTTGTACAAGAGTATTTTTGTTTTTTATAATATTTTGTTGTCACAACAAGTAACGACGATTTATTTCATTTACTATTTCCGGATGTGTGTCCGGAAATATATTATATATATATATATATATATATATATATATAATTTCTGGCAAAGAATTAAATAAAATTCATTATGTTTTCCTGCCCTTTTCTGTTACTTTGCATTAATCAAGCAAATGTGTTTTTTTATTTATTTTATTATATAATTACTACTATTATTTATTTGATAGCTTGGTCTTTGTTTTTGTTTCTAGTGTTGGCAATCAGACTAGGCTTTGTCAGTGGTTAGATTGGCAATTCTTTGTTTTTCTTATTTTGTTTTTTCGATATCCCGTCTGTGGGATCTTTCTAGGCAGCTTTATAGCATGTCCTCCCTGGTTTTATTTTCGGCCGTTGGTCGCGTTTGTATTCGAACCTTGTTCTCTTGGTGTGGTTATATAGTATTCCTTTCGTTTCGAANNNAAAAAAAAAAAAAAAAAAAAAAAACTAATAATAAAGTCACATAAAATGTTACTCTATTATATATCTTTTTCAGACTATTTATCCAAATTTATTATTTCTTTTGTTCTTTTCAAAGCAAATTTTTTTTATTAAAATTACTTAATTATTATTATTTTGTTATAAACAGACAGTTTAAAATTTTGTACAATTTATCCAATTAATTGGTCATAATCTGTCAAGATTGTATCAATATAAAGATTAATATGATAGTTAAATGGTTTATATTTATATTGTTCATTTTTACTAAAGATAAAATTTATCAAATGTGATTTATTCATTATCTAACTTATAATTTTAGACATATAGCACACATATAACATATAAAATTTTATTTGTATTTGTGCATGTACACATGATCGAACACTATTACTCCTATATCTCAGGCTCTTCATAAGACACTTTTTTTTTTTTGTCGTCCATATTTTACCTAATTGTGGTTGCAGCTTCTCCTGAACTTGACGGTTAGAAAAGAGCCTCCTTCAAATAATTGAGTCCAATCTTTACTCGTAACCCATTTAATTCTAACTCTTAATTAAAAATATTGTCTAGCAAGCCACACACGAGTATCTCCGAACAACACGGTTCATTAGATGTCAACCGTATGGGTTGCACACTCATCCATTGGAAGAAGGACACATGCCTTCAAATGATATCAAAAATATTTTTTTTTTACTTTTCCTTAAACAAGTATGGTGGCATGTGTCCCTCATCCAACGGATGAGAGTTCCACCCATACGAGTGGCATTTAATGAACCGAACAACACTCCTACCTGCCACTTCTGGGCTAGGGTCTATTGTGACAAGTAATTATGTGTTTTAGAATATATGCTATTATAGAGGTTTCCATCAATAGTATTGGTGTTTTTTTTTCTCTATGTGAGAAATTGGGAATATTTACGATGACTAATATATATATATATATATATATATGGAAGGAAGAAAAACAAATGTACGAAATAATTTTATTCTTTGATTGGATCACATTGCAGTTTCTTTTTTCAAGTAGGGGTTAAAAATCTAATATGTGTAGTGTAACAACAAATTTCGTGTCGTGAATTTATAAACATGAAAATTTTTTTGCAAATTAATTTCTCGAATAAAATAAATTTTGTGAATTATAATCTCTTTTCTCAAATTCTTCTCAACAATTTTTGAGTTTTGGAGCAAAATTCTTGGCTTGATCTTCCCTTGACTAGAACTAGCGTTAATCCTTGATATCGGATCAAACATCGTAATATCCCAAGAACGTGAAGAACATGATCCTTGATCTCCACTGCAAAGTCGATCGTGGATCTTCTCCGCGCCGGTTTCGAGTTTACAAACGTAATTCAGAGGCTTAATAGTTTTTTTCTAAATTAAACATCAGTATTGAGGTTGAACGCACTTGAATCCTGCTTCGAATCTTCAAGAACAGTTGAATCTCGTCGAGAGAATCTTTACTGCTCTTAAACTTGAATATGAATTGTTGTCTTTTTATTCTTTTAGGGAAAGTCCCTATTTATAGTGGTAGGAGTGGGAAGCCTACCAAATTTAAGAATCGTAGGACGAGATTTGATTGTTCGATGATGATTCACATAAGATCTACTTAAATATGTCAAGATTTTCTAAAAGATATATGATTTATTTACCCAAAAAAAAAACAGATTTGACACTTGGCATTATTTGATTGGCCGAGAATTAAAATAGTAATATTAATTAATTAACAATTTAATTTTGGAATTAAATTTAAGAAAATTCTCAAAAAATAAATAATAAAATATGACTTTATTTTTAGGGTTAATTGCCATTTAAACCTTGACAATTTCACTTTTGGCAATTTAATCAAAACTTCTAGATAAATGCAAAATAATACCAGACTTGTATTACTTTTGCAAAATTGACTTAAAACCCGTCGGACGGCGAAAAGGTGCCAGCGTGTCCGGCTGGTTTTATCTACGTGTAATTTTGACTTTGCTCAGTAAGTTTAAGTGAAATACGTGGAATTTCTGAAAAAATGGTATAAAAACGATTCCCCTCCCCAATTTCACAAATTTCCCAAATCGTTTTTCTGAAAACCCTAACTTTTAAAAGAAGATAAAATCGTTGTCGACAACAAAAATCAAACCCTACTCTGAAATCTTCTCTCTGTATCAAGAATACGCAACGAATTGGTCCCAATTGCATGAGAGTTTGTGTTTCTGCGTCCGAGATTCCTTCTGAGGGTGCGTTCGACATTTCTTATATGTCGGGAAAATGACAGACAGGTGCGACAAATTTCTTATATTCTTTATTTCTTATTGTCTGTGTTTTGTACCCGAGGTAGTGCGACAAATTTGGAATATTGTGGGTTTTTTATTTTCTTTGTCATGTGGTTTGTGCATTTTTTATTTCGAGATTGTGGTCCATGTTCTGTTTTCGAGAGTGTGGTCTTACATTTAGGGTTTGTGTAGAAATTCGATTTATTATTGGAATTTAAGTGTTTTTTTTTTGTGAAATTAAGTTTCTTTTGGGGGAAATTAGGGCTTTTCATACAAATTAGGGTTTTTGGGGGAAATTAGGGCTTTTCATACAAATTAGGGTTGTTTTGTGGAAACTAGGGTTTGTCTAAAAAATTAAGTATTTTGGTTGAATTAGGGATTTTCTGAACAATTAGGGATTTTAGGGAAATTAGGATATCTCTGAACAATTTGGGCTTTTTTTGGGAACTTTAGTGTCTTATGCATTGCACTTATTATTATTATCCTATTTATGTATTATGTTTGCATTGCAGTGGCAAATTTTCAATATTTGTAAACTATGGAGGCCGTTTCATCAAATGTGGAACTTCTGTTGAGTACTTAGGTGGTATTTTAAAGACAGTTCATGGTTTAGATGTGGATAGGTTTGGGTATTTTGACTTAAAAGAAGAAGTTGAGAAGTTGGGGGTTGATAAGTTTGGAAAACTTGTATACAGAATACCAGGGAAGGTTGGAGCTGACAGCTTTAAAGATGTTGTTGATGATAGTGCAGTTATGGAGATGATTGGTCATGCTACTAGGGAAAGAACATTATTAGAAGTTTATGTGGTTGGAGAAATTATAGAAGAAGGTAACAATGAAGAAGGTAACAATGAAGAAGAAGTTGTTGTGGAAAGTGCATCTAGGTCAGATGAACAATTTGATATTGATTCATATATAGATAATTTTTCCAATCCAAAGAATCCTGATGATGTGGGTTTAGTAGCTGAGTCACAAAAAGAAGTGGGTGACTGTGAAGTTGGAAGTGGGTCTGGGGGTTTAGGAACTGAGTCACAGAAAGATGTGGGTGACTGTGAAGTTGAAAGTGGGTCTGGGGATGATAGTGAGGATGAAGACTATTTTCCTGTTGATGAAAGCTCATCTGATGATGAACTTTCTGTTGATGATCTTGCTTCTGATGATGATGGTGAATATCTTGAGGCAAGACAGAACCTGAAGAAGCAAAAAAATGGGATATTAGAAGATGATGGAGAATGTGCAGACAACATCAAATCAAAGATTGCCATTGATATGGACAGTGAAGATTCAGGGTTTGTAGATTGTGCATTGGCATCTGAAAATTCAGGTAGTGTTTTGGATTTGGATGAGGATGGAAACTGTATAGGTAGAAGGAAAATGGTTACTTATGACCCTAATTGTGATCATAGTACACTTGAGTTTATGTTGGGGATGAGATTTATAAGCATAGAAGAGTTGAAAAAAGCAGTTAGGAATGTGGCAATTTTTCAAGGGAGAGACATAAAGTTTCTGAAAACTAGCAAGAAGCAGTTGAGAGTGAAATGTGTTGATGGTTGCCCTTGGACCTTGTATGCAAGTGCAGTGATGAAAGAGGGTAGTGTAGCAATTAAGCAGTTCAACAAGGAGCACAAATGCCATAGAAATATCCACACCAGACAAGTTACATCAGAGTGGCTTGCTGAGGTGTTTCTTGAAAAATTCAGGAAGAATCCAAACATGTCCATTACCCAAATGGAAGAAGCAATATCTGAGAAGTATGCAGTACAACCTACAAAGTGGAAGCTCTATAGAGGGAAATGGAGAGCTCTTGAGATGCTCAGAGGTTCAGTAGTTGGTCATTATGCTTCTCTGAGAAGTTACATGGCAGAGTTGTTGAGGGTAGACAGAGATGGAAGGTTTGAGTTTCTTCTTGGTGAAGAAACAACATTCAGAGGTTTCTATGTGGGATTTAGTGCACTGAGAAAGGGTTTCATTAGTGGTTGTAGGCCCATCTTAGGTTTTGATGGGTGTTTCTTGAAGACTTTTATAGGTGGGGCTTTATTGTGTGCCACAGCAAAAGATGGCAACAATCAAATATACCCTGTGGCTTGGGCAGTTGTTGAGGCAGAAAATGAGGAATTTTGGAGGTGGTTTCTAAGTATTTTGTTCACTGAGCTGGGAATAAATGATGGCCTTGGATATACTTTCATGTCAGACCAACAAAAAGTAAGTTATGTCTCTAATTAATTTGTGAAGTTATTCATAAATGAATTTTTCCACTTACTTATATCTGAAATTGTATATTTTCAATTTTTTTCCTTTTGCAGGGTCTTCTGAATGCATTGAGAGACTTGGCCCCAAATGCTGATCACAGAAATTGTGCAAGACATGTGTATATGAACTGGAAGAAGAGTTTCAAAGGGCTCACACTGAAAACCATTCTCTGGAAGATTGTTATGAGCACTCACTTGGGGGACTACTACTACATATATTTGGAAGATTTGAAGTCTGAAGATCCATATGCTTATGCTGATTTCATGAAGAGAGATCCTACCAAATTCTGTAAGGCTTACATTTCTCCATTGTCTAGATGTGATATAATTGAGAACAATGTGAGTGAAACATTCAATGGAATGATTGTCAAGGGTAGAAGCAAGCACATTATTGATATGCTTGAGTTTGTTAGAAGTGAGTTAATGAAAAGACAACAT